TGCCTGGTCCTCATCAGATTTAATTCTCCTCATTAACTTCACATCATCTGCAAACAGGGACACTTCTGAGTCTAACCCTTCCATCATGTCGTTCACATATACCAAAAATAGCACTGGTCCTAGGATCGACCCCTGTGGGACCCCGCTCGTCACAGGTGCCCACTGTGATACATCATTACGTACCATGACTCGTTGTTGCCTCCCTGTCAGGTATTCTCTGATCCATTGCAGTGCCCTTCCTGTTATATGCGCCTGATGCTCTAGCTTCTGCACTAATCTCTTGTGAGGAACTGTGTCAAAGGCCTTCTTGCAGTCCAAGAAGATGCAATCAACCCACCCCTCTCTCTCTTGTCTTACTTCTGTTATTTTATCATAAAACTCCAGAAGGTTTGTGACACAGGATTTGCCTTCTGTGAATCCGTGCTGGTTGGCATTTATACTCTTGTTCAGTTCCAGGTGCTCCACCACTCTCCTCCTGATAATCTTCTCCATAATTTTGCATACTATACACGTCAATGACACAGGTCTATAGTTTAGTTCCTCTTTTCTGCCTCCTTTTTTAAAAATGGGAACTACATTTGCCGTCTTCCATACCTCAGGTAGTTGCCCAGTTTCCAGGGACGTGTTGAAGATTGTGGTAAGTGACATGCACAACATATCTGCTCCCTCTCTAAGGACCCACGGGGAGATGTTGTCCGGTCCCATTGCCTTTGAGGTATCGATGTCCCTTAGCAGTTTCTTCACCTCCTCCTCATCTGTATGTATGTCGTCCAACACTTGTTGGTGTATTCCTTGCTGGTGTCCCCATCTGGTCTGTCCCCCCAGAGTCCTTCCTGTCTCTACTGTAAATACTTCCTTAAATCTCGTGTTGAGCTCCTCACATACCTCTTGATCGTTTCTTGTGAGTTCTCCACCTTCTTTCCTCAGCCTTATCACCTGGTCCTTGACTGTTGTCTTCCTCCTAATGTGGCTATACAGCAGTTTCGGGTCAGATTTGACTTTCGATGCTATGTCGTTTTCATACTGTCGCTGGGCCTCCCTCCTTATCTGTGCATACTCGTTTCTGGCTCTTCTACTAATCTCCTTGTTTTCCTGGGTCCTATGCCTCCTGTACCTTTTCCATTCTCTGTTGCACTTAGTTTTTGCCTCCCTACACCTTCGGGTAAACCAAGGACTCGTTTTGGTCTTCCTATTATTTCTGTTTCCCTTGGGAACAAAACTTTCCTCTGCCTCCTTGCACTTTGTTGGGCCACATATTCCATCATCTCGTTTACTGATTTTCCTACCATTTCTCTGTCCCACTGAACCTCCTGCAGGAAGTTTCTCATACCTATGTAGTCCCCCCTTTTATAGTTTGGCCTGTCCCCTTCAGTTCCTGTTACCTTCTCCACTTGTAACTCTACTATATAATCAAAACTCAGAACCACGTGATCGCTAGCTCCAAGGGGCCTCTCGTAAGTGATGTCTTCAATGTCTGAACTGCTCAGAGTGAACACAAGATCCAGTCTTGCTGGCTCATCCTCCCCTCTCTCTCTGGTTGTGTCCCTGACATGTTGATGCATGAGGTTTTCAAGTACCACATCCATCATCTTGGCTCTCCATGTTTCGGGACCCCATGTGGCTCCAGGTTTTCCCAGTCGATCTCCCTGTGGTTGAAATCGCCCATTACCAGTAACTTTGCTCTGCTCGAGTGAGCTCTTCTTGCCACCTCAGCCAGTGTGTCCACCATCACCCTGTTGTTTTCTTCGTACTCCTCTCTTGGCCTCCTGCAGTTCTGTGGTGGGTTATACATCACTCCAATGACTACTTTATGTTCTCCGGACTGAATTGTACCTACAATGTAGTCTCTTTCTCCAATCATGTCCATGCCTTCCATTTCCTCAAATCCCCATCGGTGTTTTATGAGCAGTGCAACCCCTCCTCCCCTCTACTCCTTCTATCTTTCCTCAGGATCTGATATCCCGTTGGGAAGATTGTGTCTGTTATTGTCTCAGCGAGTTTTGTTTCTGTGACTGCTATGATGTCTGGGGATTTTTCACTGATTCTTTCGTTCCACTCCTCATGTTTATTCATTATTCCATCCGCGTTTGTGTACCAAACTTTCAGTTTCTTTTCTGTCATTGTGGTCATGCAAGAATATTGGGGTTGGGGGAGCGAGAGCCTTGGTGGGGGCCTATATGGGGCTGTGGTGTTGGTGGGGTTTGTGACTGAAATCACCCGTAACTAGTAACTTTGCTTCCCTTATGTGAGCTCTTCTGGCCACCTCGGCTAGTTTGAAGACCATTGCTCTGTTGCTTTTGTCATATTCTTCTCCTGGCCTCCTACAGTTTTGCGTGGGTTGTATTGCATTTACCACCTTATGGCCCTCAGACTGGATTGTTCCTACTAAATAGTCCTTTCGCCCATGTCATCCATTCCTTCCATTTTGTCAAATTCCTGCAGGTTTTTAATGAGCAGTGCAACTCCTCTTCCCCCTCTCCTCCCTCTATCTTTCCTGAGGATTTGCTATCCAGGTAAAAAGATTGCATCTGTTATCATCCTGGTGAGTTTTGTTTCTGTGAGTGCTATTATGTCTGGGGATGTCTCCTTGATTCTTTCATGCCACTCCTCACACTTATTCGTTATTCCGTCTGCATTTGTATACCACGCCTTCAACTTCTTTTCTAAAACTGTGGTCTGGGGTGTTATATTGGGGATGGGGAAGTGGGAGACCTGTTAAGGAAATATGGGTGGTTGCTGTGAGGGTGGGGCTTGTAATGAAGTGGGTGAGGGCACTGGATATGGCAAGTGTGTTTTGGGTTGTGAGGGAGGCTGCATTTGATCTTCCTCCTGAGTCTGGGTTCTCCTGTCCATCTCCATCTACACCTCTCTTTCCTCCTTACGTTTTTGTACCATCTCTCTCAGCTTCTGTCTCTCTTCTTGTGTTCTGTCATGGTCAAGATACACCTTCTAGTATGCTGGCATGTCCCTTAGTCTTCATTTCTCCTGCAGGATCCTGTTCCGAGTCAATTCTCCCTTGAAAGTCACTTTCATTGGCTGGGTTCTTCTACTTGCAAAACCCCCTATTCTCCGAAAATTTGCCAGCTGGGTCATGCCATCTTCTCCTATTGTTTTTATGATGCTTTAAATCACATTTTTCTCCACTTGTCTTCTTGCTTCGTAAGATTCCCCTTCAACTTCCTGGAGCCCATAAGCAAAGACTGACCTCTCCCTTTCATTCTCCCACTGCATATCCCTATGTATCCACTGATTCGATTTAGTTTCCTCCATTGCAGCTTTCCTTTCTTCAGTTTCTTCACTATCTGTTGTCCTTGGGCCCAGTGACCTGTCATTTTCCCTTCTCAGCTTTCTCTGAGCTCTGCTGTGGTCTGTTAGGGCCTCCACGTATAGCTTAGCTCTTTCATTTCTACAGTCCCCTCGATTGCTCCTGATATGATTCTCTGTTTTTCTCGGGCTCCACAGTGGTCTGATAGGACTTCTGCATGCAGTTTCACTTCTTCGTTACTTACAGTCTCCTTGATTGTGACTAAGGTAGCAGTCTCTGATGTCATTCCCAAATTGTTCTTTAGATCTTTAGGCTGTTTCTAATTTTTCAGTTCCTTTTCTAAGTTCTGTATCCTAGCCTCTGCTGCTGTGACTTGCATCTCCCACTTCTTGTTTTCTGCATCTATCCTCCCTTCCATTCTCATGCTAAGTTCTTCTAGGTTTTTTTCCCACTCATGTTCCCTTTTCATGAGCTCTGCTGCCCAATCTTCCTTCCCAGATTCATCCTCCAGTCCCTTGGTTTTCCTTCCTGCTGTCTGGCAACCCATTATTTTTTTGTTTTGGCTGCCACAGAATGAAAAACTTATGTAATTTTGTGTGTTTGCTTTTTGGTGTGTTTGTCCGAGTGTGGGGGGGGGGGTAGAGGAGGAAGCTGGAGACAGTGGCTAAATGGGAGAGGGGTGGGGAGGGGGCTTGAGGGGGGAATATGGGGAGTGAGGAGGAGGGAGAAGCAAAGGGAGAGAATGGGAAAGGGAGAGGGGGAAAGAGGGAGAGTTGGGGGAGAAGGTGGATGAGAGAGAGAGAGAGAGAGGAGGGATCAAGGGAAGGAGTGGGAGATTGGTGGGGGGAGGGTGCAGGGGGGAGAGAGTGTGTGTGAGTCTGTATGTGTGAGAATGTGTGTGTGTGTGTGTGTGTGTGTGTGTGTGTGTGTGTAACTATGTGTGGGTTTATTAAGTGTCTGAAAAGTAGGTGGAATTGTGTGTTGTGGTGTAGGAGTGTGTATTTGGAGTTTGCAGTGCTCCCTTACCTGGCCCACACCCTCCTATGACCTGACCCACACCTACCTACTATTTTGCATCCTCTATGCTTTTACTTCCACCTAGTCTTATAGAATCCTGTCTTGCCGTATTCTATAAATTACTAATTGCTATTCCTTACTGAGTACTTGATAGCCTATTCTTCATCATACTAGGAGAGTTGGACCGTTCAAAATCAGTTTGGTGGTTAATTGGAAACCCAAACTCACACCCAACAACCACCATAGGTGAATACTTGCAATGCAGCCTACAGCAGCCAGTAGATTGTCCAGCTCGATGTGATGTCCTGGTGCAGATCCACCTCCGTTTCTTCTCGATATATAATGTACATACCTATTCACTGTATTTCTTTCACTGGTCACACATTTTTTTCACTTTATTATCTTTCTTGGATGACACGTGGCAAGGTCGCCTGGAGCACACTAGGCTGCCCACTCTGAATGCACCACCAAGTATCACTTACTAGTTCACTTATAAAATTGTGGCTCTCCCCACACTTATGTGGCTCAGGGCAAATTGTAAATCGTTTCAAGGATTGCTCACTGCCCTGACACACTTAGCGACCCTCGCAGTACCCTTGGGTAGCCCTCAATAACACTTATATTTGCGGAGCACGGAAGGCGTGTCTCGCACACACCGTGTCCCTACTGTGTGTGTGTGTGTGCAGGTAAGTCGGATACATAATAAAGATAATCTATATCATACCTGGAAATCTTGAGCCTTGAGTTCAAGAGGAGTCGAGTTGACCGTCTCGGATTTGTGCCTGCAAATACAATATTAATTATGTTAATAAGAGAAGCAATGACAATAAGAATATTAACAGTAGTCATAATAATAATAATAACAATAATAATAATAATAAACCTGATAACACAAAATTTACCATCTCTAGAGGTGATGCACCACTCTTCTCCTGATAATCTTCTCCATGACTGTACATACTATTCATGTCAGTGACATTGGTTTGTAGTTCAACACTACCTATCTGTCTTCTTTCTTAAAAATTGGGACTGGAATTGTTATCTTCCACACCTCCGGCAGTTGCCCTATGTCGATATTGTTGAATATGGATATACAGTGCCCCTGCTCCCTCCCTCAGGACCCACGGAGATATATTATCTAGTCCCACCGCATTCAAGGTATCTAGCTTACATAATAGCTTCTTCACCTCCTCCCCAGTTGTATGTTTTGTGTCCGACGCTTGCTGGTGTACCCTACTGCTTCGGCTTGTTGGTAGCCTTCCTGTTTCCTCTGAGAATACCTCTCTAATTTTCTTGCTGAGCTCCATACAAGCATCCGGTCATTCCTTGTGAGCTCCCCTTCTTTCTTCTACAGTCTGATTACCTGGCCTCTGACTGTTGTCTTCCTCCTGATGTGGCTATATAGCACCTTTGGGCAGGATTTGGCTTTCGATGCTACATCATTCTCAAATTGCCGTTGATCCTCTCTTTGTACCTATGCATACTTCTTACTGGTTCTTCAGTTCATCTTCTTGTTTTCCTGAATTCTTTGCCTGTAATTCTTTTTCCATGCTCCAGCACATTTAGTTTTGGCCTTCCTACTGCACCTTATAAAGGAATTGCCCTCGTGCCTGAGTAGCCCTTTCTTTTGAAGTTTGGCTTCTCACACCCTTACCCTGCGTCTTCTCTTATCACTGTTCTACAAGGTATTCGAACCTCAGGACCGTGTGGTTCTGAGTTTCAAATACCTTTCTTCTGTAATATCCCCTAGGTAAGAACCACTCAGGGTAAATGCAAGGTCCAGCCTTGCTGGTTCATCCTCTCTCTCTTTCTCTCTCTCTGGTTGTGTCCCTAACATGTTGGCATATGAAGTTCTCCATTACCACCTCCAACATCTTAGTTCTCCCAGTTAATCTCCTTGTGGTTAAAGTCCTCCATTGTAACATGGGGGTTCTAGGAGTAGTAGTAGTAGTACACTTAGGTATGGCTGGTAACACTTGTATTTGCAGAGTCGTGAGGGAAAGGCCCAGCCTGCCTGTAGTCACCTGTAGGTCTATGCGGGAACTGAGAGGGTGACTGATGCTCACATGTGGCACCAAGTGACGTCACATGCTAGCCCCTAGGAATAGCAAGGGATCGTATATATAAAATATATAGATGGTACTAACTACGATACTCAGATATGCTACACAAACATTCAGTAGCTTTGCTGACACCATGACCAATAGCTTTGGCCTACTTATGTGGGCTCTTCTGGTCGTCTCATTTAGTGTATCAACCACTGCTCTATTGCTGGCTTTTTGATGTTAAGTGGAAGCTTGTACAACACTGCTATCACCACCTTGGGATCTGTACTGCTATGGAATTTATATTTCCCGCCATGCCACTAGTCTGTGCTGCCTAGTGGCATGGAGGTAGCTACCTCACTCTCGCTATAGCAGCACACAGCCTACAGACAAGACCTACCTGTCCATCTCTCTCTCTCTCTCTCTCTCTCTCTCTCTCTCTCTCTCCAGGCCGGGGGCCTGGCCAGGTCTTTGCAGAACACACTGCCTGTGCCATTACCCAATAAACCAAAAAAATATTATTCACCCCACCAGAGAAATACTATTCGTATATCTGGTGACAGTGGTGTCCGAGAACCAACACCATTAAAGATCCCTAGTCTTCAGTATGACTATTATGTAGTCAACTCCACTTATTTTTGTTAAACTGTACTACTGACTGAGGAGGTTGGGATGAAGGGGACTTGGAGTCTGGTGGTCGGGGTGAAAGTCAGTTATGAAGAAGGTACTTGTGCTGGGAGGATGGGAACTGTGGGTGTGAGGAAGAGGCTGGAATATGACTTGTTTTGGGTTATTATGTTTGGTTGTAAGATGGGAATAGGGCTTGAGGGAGTCTTGTGTGTGGGTGTGTTTGGCCATCCTCCACAGGCTGAGCTTCCATGTCTGTTGATGCATGCTCTGTCTCTTGCCTGCCTCTGATGTCTTTGGACTCTTGCTTTCAGTTGCTCTCTTTCCTTCCTTGTTCTGTCCCGGTCGAGCAACACTCGCTGGCATTTTTCTATCCCCCTAAACCATGGTTTCCATTGTGTCAAGGCTTTACTGTTTCTGAAGAAGGTTCGTGGTCTCCATCTCTCATCATGTCATGCTAAGAGTCTTATACATTTTATTCGGCATATGTCACACTCCCTTATAGGCTGCCTTCCAACCAGTGAACCGGGTGCTAAGGGTTTAACGATCAGTAGGGTACCCGTCATTAAATCAGTACCTTGGTTCATTCGCCAATCACAGCCAAGCTCGC